GTAAAAATGTGGATGTGTAACCAATGTGATTCTGCAATCTGTATTTGGGGTAAAAATGGGAGTTCATAACCCACTTGAATCTAATGTATGAAATATGATATGTCAAGAGCTTTGTAATGTTTTGAACAACCAATAAAAAATAAAAAATAAAATAAAAAAAAGAATAAAAGAAATGAAGAGACTGGGGTTGTGGCTCGGTGGCAGAGTGCTTACCTCCCATGTGTGGGGCACTTGGTTCAATCCTCATCACTACATATAAATAAACAAATAAAATAAAAGTATTATGTCCATGTATGACTAAAAAAATTTTAAAATTTTTAAAAAAGAAATGAATTCTAGATATGTAGTGATAAATACATATGACAAAGTGACAAATATGAGAGCTAGACAAGAAGATTCAACATACGGAAGAGGGGTTCAAAAAACAAATTAATACTGCATAAACTTTGTAATTCAAGTAACTTTAAGCAACACACTAAAGAATATATATTCAGGACAGTGTGGTAAGGGCACAGGATAGACTTAGAGACCAGTGCAGCAGAATTGAGAATCCAGAAATAAATCTAAAGAGGTATTAAGAATGAAGATGGGGGGCTGAGTTTGTGGCTCAGTGGTGGTGCACTTGCCTAGCATGTGTGAGGCAGTGGGTTTGATTCTCAGCACCACATAAAAATAAATAAATAAATAAATGTCCATCAACAACTAATAAAAATATTAAAAAAGAAAAGAATGAAGATGGGCTCTGTAAAGGATTAAATTGTGGCCCCCAAAATATATGTCTACCTGGGACCTTAGAATGTGATCTTATTTGCAATAGAGTTCTTTGCATGTAATTATGATAAGAATCTTGAGAGGAGACTACCTTGGATTGGGTAGAAGCTGAATCCAATGATGTGCATCCTTACAAGAAAGGCACAAGGAGAAGCCACAAAGACACACACAGAGGGACAAGCCTAGAAGATGAATGCAGAGAGTGAAGTGATGTACTACAGATCAGGCACACTTGCCAATCACCACCAGAAGCTGAGAGAGTCATGGAATAGATTCCCCTTCAGAGATTCTAAAAAGAACCAGCCCTTGCCAGGCAAGGTGACCACACCTGTAATCCCAGTGGCTCCAGAGGATGAGGCAGGAAGATCACAAGTTCCAGGCCATCCTCAGCAACTTAGTGAGACCCTGTCTTAAAAAAAAAAAAAAGTGACCATCCCTGACAACATCTTGATTTCAGGCACCTGGCCTTGGAGCTGTGAGAGAACACTTGTTTTAAAGACCCCGTTAGTAGTAATGTGTTACCGCATCCCTAGGAAACTAATACAGACCCTCCACTTCATCTGTAGCAAAAATTAACTCAAAGTGGATCATCGACTTAAGTGTAAGAGCTGGAACTACAAAGCTCTCAGGAAAATAAAAACATTAAGAATTAATATTTGAGATGGTAGACTAAACAACTGTTACTTAGATCTGATATAAAAAACACAAGTGACACAAGAAAACGGATACATTGGACATCTTTACAATAAGAACCGTGCTTCAAAGAACACCATCAAGAAAGTGAAAAAACAGCTCACAGGTTGGGAGAAAATATCTGCAAATCATGTAACTTCAAGGGGCTTGTATCAGAATGTATAAGTAATTCCTTATAACTAAGCAATACAAAGACAACCCAAATTAAAAATGGGCAAAATATTTGAATAGACATCTCTATAAAGAATACATACAAATGACTAATAAGCACATGAAGAGATGTCCAACAGCACTGGCCATCACAGAAATATAAACCAAAACTATAGGAAATAGCACTTCACACCCATGGGGATGAAAAAATGTAAAAGATAATAACAAGTACTGAGAAACTAATGTGACTCCATTTTTAAAAATAAATAAATAACAGCAGCTTCTACCTCAAGGCCTGTCCTAAGGAAGGGGGTGTGACCCTTGYCCTTGGAAAAACCCACAGAGCACTCCTAAGCATATACCCACCCTGCTGAGTTGTTTGTCAGTAAATAACAGGAGAGGTCTGCGGCACCAGGTGTCCCTGACTCAGTCAGACTAGGTGAGGACCCATAGCAACCCCCTAGCAACCTCCAATCAACATGAGACAGGGAAAATACCTGAGATGTCAGATGACCCCCAGTAGTTTATGGTGGTTGATAACATGTTGGGAAACCATGTAGTTCAGCACGTACACCCCTCATGGCCTAAACCAATCAGTTCAAAGGAATCCCCCTATTGTACTATCCAATCGCCCCTACCCAACTTGTTCTTGCCAGTAAATGTGCTAATCAATGTTACGAGTTGTTGTTTGATTTTCCCGTGGTATGGAATGATTTGCTGTGTGATGTTGTGACGCATAGAGTATCCCCCCAAAACCTATAAAATCTCACTGAACAAAGGACGGGGACTCACTCCCTGGGACCGCTGTGTCAGGAACGGTTGTGAGTCCAGGCTCGAGCTTGCAATAAAGACTCTTGTGTGATTGCATCGGATTTAGCTCCTGGAGGTCTATTGGGGTCCCACGAATCTGGCATAACAGTACCGGCAAGGATGTGGAGAATTTAGAACTCTGTAACCTGCTGGTAGGATTATAAAGTGGTGTGACCACCTGGGGCACCAGACTGGGAGTTCTCAAAAAGTTACGTATACACTCACCATATGACCCAGCAAGTTTACTTCTAGATGAATATCAAAGAAAATTGAAAATACATGTCCACACAAAAACCTGCATTCTAATATTCATCCAGCATTAATCATACTAGCCCCCAAATGGAAACAATCCAACTGTTCATTAACTGATGAATGGATAAATAAAATATGTGAATATTATTCAGCCATAAAAATAAGTGAAGCACTGACACATGGATTAACCTTAAAAACATTTTTGCTAAAAAAAAAATGTGGCATATATACACAATGGAATATTATTCAGCACTAAAAAATAATAAGATCATGGTATTTTCAGGGAAATGGATGGCATTAAAACAGATTATGCTAAGTGAAGTTAGCCAATCCCAAAAAAACAAATGCAGAATGTCTTCTCTGACATAAGCGGGGTGACTCAAAACGGGGAAGAGAGGAAGAGCATAAGAAGAAGATTACCTCTACATAGGGAAGAGGGGTGGGAGGGAAAGGGAGGGAGAAAGGGAATTGCATGGATGGTGGAAGGAGACCCTCACTGTTATACAAAATACATGTATGAAGATGTGAGGGGAAAAAGAAAGAATAGCGTTACCCTAGATTAGGTAGAGAGAAGCAATGGGGGGCGGGGTGTTGGGGAGATAGGAAGGATAGTAGAATGAAACAGACATTATTATTACTGTGTGTATATATGTGACTGCATGACCAATGTGATTCTGTAACCTGTATACTCAGAAAAATGAGATATTATATCCCATCTGACTCAAATGTATGATATGTCAAGGTCATTGTACTGTCATGTGTAACTAATTAAAACAAATTTTTAAAAAATTTGCTAGCCAGGGATGGTGGCATGTACCTAAAATACCAGCTACTTGGGAGGCTGAGTCAGAAGAATCAACTGAGCCTAGGAGTTGGAGTCCAGCCTTGGTAATACAGCAGAGATTTCATGTCAAAACAATGACAATAACTTTACTAAGTGAAAGAAGCCAGTTACAAAAGGCCACAAACTGAACGACTGCAGTCATATAAAACACTTACAATATGTAGAAGGAAGGGAAGGGAAGGAAAGCTGCTCAGCTCACGGTGGGTTAGGAAGCAGAGAGGAAGGAGGAGGCCACAGGGAAGATGCATCTCCCAGGACCAACCCCAGTGCCCACCCCTCCATCCACACCCCACCTGCCTATAGTTAGCACCCAGTCAGCCCATTCTCACTGCATGGCTGATGAGTTACAGCTCTCACAGTCTAGTTGCATCAGCTCTGAACATTCCTGCATTAACAGGAGCCTTGGGGGACACCTCACGTCCAAACCATAACACAGGGCAAGTGTGCAAGTTCAAACACTGTTGGACAGCCTGTATATGAACAGATCACTGACATCCAGAGTGGGTCATGGCATCACTTTAAACTTGGAATCTCCACATTTAAGTCTTACAACTGAAAAAAATATTAAGAGATGAATTACACATGTTTGTGGTTTGGTATAAAATATCAGGAAGAGTATAGGGTGTCAAGAAGGAAAAAGACTGAGAGTTGCTGACTGTTGAAACAGTGTGATAGGTACTCATGTGCATGTTAGAAGTTTTCTACAATAAAAAGTTTTTTCCGATATTTTAGTATGAATATTTCCAAACACATGGACAATTTGAAAAAAAAGTGCAGTGTACACTCATGTATCCACCAGCTAGATTCTACAATGACTATTTTTGCATCTGTTTTATCACTTACTTATGTACCTAGTTTAGGAAGGTTATAAAACACTGTTTTTATGTTACTTACTCTGAATTGTAGTTTAATTCTTAGAAAGTTATAAGCCATTTGTGGTAACAATGCCCATTCATATGATGCTGCATGTTAACTCTGCCTATTTTAAATTACCAAAGGAATGTGCACTGGTAAAAATTCAAGTAGAACCTACATACATGACAGGAAAGTGCATCCTCACATTTAGGCAGGTGAAGTGGCACATCTCCGTCTGTGTGAATGTGCCTTGTGCTGTATGGCATGGTGGGCTCCACCACCCTCCCACCCTGGGGAAAGCCATTGTTGGACGTCGATTTTTAGAGACTACCAGAACCATAACTTACCATGCTTCCAACTGCCATCATCACCAAAAAACTGCAGCACTATTCTAACAAAGTCCTTAGCGTTGAAACAAATAACAGGGCATTTACATTTCAGGGTTTGGAACAGCACGTTTCTAGAAGATATAAAGAATTCACTGACTTAGGCATTAATTCTAAACTTTTTATATTGGGAAAATATTGTTATTACTTTACCAATAGCTATCATTTATAGTGCAGATACACATTGATTAGCTAAAGAATCTTGTGAGGTAAACATCTGCATTTGTTGGGCGTGGTGGTGTGTCCCTATAATCCCAGCACCCAGGAGTCTGAGGCAGGACTGCAAGTTCAAAGACAGCCTCAGCAATTCAGTGAGGCCCGAAGCAACTTAGCAAAACCCTGTCTCAAAATAAAAAAAATAAAATAAAAAGGTCTTGGATGCAGTTCAGTGCACTTAGGTTCAACCCCTGGTTGAGAAGAAAAGAAAAATAAAAAACATTTGCATTTTACAAATGGAGAAACTGAGACACAGAGACTAAGCAAGTGCCCAAGACCTTATACCAAGGAAGAGCCCCCAGTATCCAGGCCTACAGAGTAACTCCTGAATTATTACATAGACCATACCCTTCTTACCAGCCCCAAGGTGACTCCCTGGCCTGCTCTGCCCTCTCCTCACATCCCACCATTCTGTCATCACCAAGGGTGCCCATTCCTCTGGGTCACCGTACTTGCTGGTTCCTAACTGCAGTTCTCTTCCCACAGCTTTTGCAACCTGTTCCAGAGCTGTGTTCAGGAGGAAGCAGGTCCTCTCTCTGTTCCTCCTGTGCTCCTGTCCACATGCCGTCCCCTTATCTCATGAGCTCCTTGAATATAGGATTCATAATAGTTACATTTATTGATTACCTACCATATGTCAGATACCACATTATAATACACAAGCTTGACGTGATGAAACTTCAAAATGATCCTATCAGGGAGACACTCTATCCACTTTACAGGTGAGGAAACTTAAGCTCAGAGAAGTTATAATTGAGAAGTGGCAACACTTGGATCTAAGACCAGACTCCAAACTCCAAGACACCAAACCATAAATCCCCTGTCATAGTAAAGGCTTATGAATACACTAACGAGGTGCTTTGTATAGGACTAAGAAAGAAACAAACTAGGACACAATGAGCTCCATAACTAAGTGAGTGTGCAGTTAGGCTTTGCTGGTCTTGATCTGCAGACAGTTTCAGGCTTTGCGTATTGTGTGATTTCACCTTGGTTTCCTTGAAGAGGGAGGCCAGTAGCAAGGACTCTGGTTTTGGCTTGGATGGACCAGGGAGGGTAAACTGTGGGGGACAGAGGGGAAAGAAGGAGTGGAAAAATACAAGGAGAAGAAAGGGCACTTGGAGCCCCTGCCTCTGTAAATCTCTTCATTCTGAAATGCAGAGGACCTCGAATTGGTGATCTAACTGCCACACTGACTTCCCATTAGGGAGACACCCAGGCTGAATGATGTCTGTTTTGAAGAGACAATAATAAAAGTGTGTCCCATAAGATACAATGGCTAAAGCAGAAAGTATTTTATGAGTCAGTTGCTTAAGTCAATTATGTCACATTTGCAAAATAAAAAGCTATAATAAAAAAAGAGGTAGAGGCTGGGGAGATAGCTCAGTGTGCCATAAAAATAAAAAATAAAAATAGGAAATCTAGATTTGGGTCTAAAAAGGAGAAAATTCCAAGATTGAAAATTTCCTCATCTATAAAGCAGAATTAATAAGACCTAACAAATAGTGAAAGTGTAAAGGTGAAAGATCATGAGTAAAAAGACCTTGTATAGGTATTTAATGTTATTAAATATGCTTTTGGCAAAAAGTAATTTATATGGATTAATTAAAAATTATTTATTTAAAATAATTTTGAATCCCAAAGATACTATATAGAATTGGAATTATTACTTCCAATTTTATGGTAACTGAGGCAATATTCCTAATTATTCTGGAACTTATAAAAATGAAGCCTCAACACTCACTTATTTAATAAATAAATATTAGGCACCTGTTCTGTGGCACTGTTCTTAGCTGTGGGTATATAAAAGTACACCAAACCAAAAATTCCTGCTCTCAGAGAATTTAGGAGTGGATATATAGTAAACTAAATAAATGTGATATGCATAATGATGTGGGGTATTCCAGGGAAACATAAAAGGGATGTGCATGGTGCTCAGCAAGGTACTGTTTATCAAGGTAGTCAGTGAAGACATGAGGATAGGGTGAACCAAAAGCCTAATTGATGAAGGAAAGCTTTTTACAGAAAATTTTAGTTAATGAGTGTGGAAAAAGTGATAGAGTTAGAAATAATTTGGACCTGAATAATGAAGCCTTAAAAACCAAACTTCAGTTTACAGTAAATACAGGGAAAGAAGAACAAGTTAAAGAATCTCAGTGGTAGAGAGCTCGCTTAGCACACGTGAGGCACTGGGTTTGATCCTCAGCACCACATAAAAACAAAATATAAAGATATTGTGTCCACCTACAACTAAAAAATAAATATTAAAAAAAGAATCCCATAATGAAATAAACAGATAAATTCAGGACATGAGACCTTCTACAAGAGTCTAGCCACATCTTCAAGGTAGAGTCAACAGGATTTGATAAGAACTTGGATAGGATTCACGAAAACAACAGAAGTCAAAGATAACAACAAGATGGATTCTACAAGATGGATTAAATTAGGAGATGAGAAAAGACATGATCACCAGATTTTTGTTATATGTTGGTGTTGCTGGGTTCCTAATCCAAATAAATCAACCATAGAAGGACATTTTTTGAGACAATCAGGTGACTGAAATTTGGATTGGACATTAAATATAAGTTTGAAAATTGTATTGTGACTATGCAGAAAAAAGGCCATTTTTTAGAGCAGTCCCCTGAGACACATGAGAGTGAAAGATGTGTCATATTTTCTTTAATTCCAGCCCTTCAGCCTCCTCTAGAAGAGAGATGAAAGAAGTGTGCAAAAATCTGAAGGTGTTGATCTATGTGGATGTGTATGCTACTCTCTACTTTTGCATTTTCAAAATTTATTTTGTTTGTTTGTAAAAACCTAAAGAAAGGAGGCAGCAACCCAGGCAGATATCTGGGAGAATGCTGTAATAAGGAGGAAACTGAAGCCATGGGTAGAGGCTGGACTTCACTGAAGAGTAAGGAGGGAGAAGAGGTGACGGCTGCAGAAGGGTACAATATGAAGACTGGCAGTGGGATAGGGTCCTAGGAACTTTCACCTTGCTTCAGAGACAGCAGGAGTAGTTACAGGGTTTTGAGGGGCAATGGCATGATGTAATTTCTGTTTTCCTATGTCCCTCTGGGAGCTGATCTGAAAACAAGCAGAAGGGCAGGTGGAGCAGGAGTACATGTGGAAGCTCTTTCTGCAGCTCAGTGGCCTGAGGTATGGCAGCAGCAATGGTAAAGGTAGGGGAGAGTCTAGCCACATCTTCAAGGTAAAGTCAACAGGATTTGCTAAGAACTTGGATAGGGTTCATGGAAAAAAACAGAAGTCAAAGATAACAACAAGCCTGAGCTCAAAGAAGGCTACTACTAACACTGACCAAGACAACCAGGCTGCAGTGGACAATTTCAAAGGAAGATGAGTGCTCAGGACACCTTAGGCTGAAATGACTAACAGATGTCCACATGGACATAGGATACATAAATCTGGAATTCAGAAAAGGCTGTCCACATATKAGGGCTCTATTCTCCATAGACTACACCTACCTACTTGCTCTTTTAAAAGAAAAATATACAAAAAGAGAGCTAAGGATTTCTTGGGAGACATTTTTTTAAAAAAACCACTAAGAGCWCCATTAGCCTGGGTAAGATGAGGAAGACTGTGCGTACCCTGTCTTCCTTCAGAGCCATCAATTACTCTTCCGGATTGTGATCTTTTTCTTTTAATTTTTTTTCATAGCTTTATTGAGGTAAAATTGAAGTACAATAAAATACACATATTTGCCATTTGATCAGTTTTGACATGTAAGTAACCAATAGAATCAATATAAAAAACATTTCTATTACTTTTTTTTAATTTAAAATCATGCAGGCTGTGTTTCCTGCATGATTTATTACATTAGAAATCAATCTTAAGATATATAGAACGCCACCCCTACAAGTCAACTATTTCAAAATTAAATGGCACACTTATAAATATCTTAGATGTCAAGGAAGACACAAGAAAAGWAAATAAAAAATGCTTTGAACTAAGTAATAATAAAAGCTTAAAATATCAGAATCTCTGGAATGAAACAGTACTCAAACATTTATAACTTAAAGGACTTGTATCAGAAAGAAGCTAGAATAACAAATTATGTTCAAATTATGTAGTAGGAAGGAAAAAATAAGACTAGGAACAGACATATATGAAATAAAGAAAAAATAACACAGTTAAAAGTTGATAAAAATCAAACAAGTCTAATCAAGGAAAAAAGCAAGAACACAGAAATTAATATCAATGAAAGGGGAGTTTATCAAAATAACCCTATAAATGCTAAAACATATTAAGGTAATATTACAATTATATGCCAACATACATGATAGCTTACATAACATGGTCATATTAGAGAAGGATTCGTGTGCTGCTGAGAAGAAAGTGTATTCAGTCATTGATGGATGAAATATTCTATGTATGTCTGTTAAGTCTAAATTATCAATTATATTTTTTTATTTCTATAGCTTCTTTATTTAGTTTTTGTTTAGTGGATCTATCCAGCAGTGACAAGGGATGTTAAAGTACCCAGTATTATTATGTTGTGGTCTATTTGATTCTTGAAATCAAGAAGGGCTTTTTTGATGTACATAAATGCTCCATTGTTTGGAGCATAAATATTTACTATTATTATGTCTTGTTGATATTTAATTCCCTTAAGCACTATGAAATGGCCTTCTTTGTCCCTTCTAATTAACTTTGGCTTAAAGTCCACTTTATCTGAGGACTTTAACTACTTGTTTATGCAGTCTATGTGAGTGATATGTTTTTTTCCCATCCTTTCACCTTCAGTCTGTGGATGTCTTTGCCTATGAGGTGAGTCTCTTGGAGATAGCATATTATGGGTCTTGTTTTTTAATCCAATCTGCTAGCCTGTATCTTTTGATTGATAAGTTTAGGTCATTAATGTTCAAAGTTATTATTGAGATATTATTTGTATTTCTGATCATTTGGGTTTATTTCTAGTTTTTAATTTGAATTAGTTTCTCCTTTGATTGAATATCCCTTTAGTGTACTTCCTCCCTTTGCTCGTTTTCACTTTTTTTTTTTTGTTTAATCTTCATGGAATATTTTGTTGAGAATATTCTGAAGTGCAGGCTTTCTAGTTGCAAATTCTTTTAACTTTTGTTTATCATGGAAGGTTTTTATTTCATCTTCAATTCTGAAGCTTAATTTTGCCAGATGTAGGATTCTTGATCAGCATATGTCTTCTTCCAGAGCTTGGTATATGTTATTCCAAGACCTCCTAGTTTTAAAGGTCTGGGTTTAGAAATCAGCTGAGATCCAAATTGGTTTCCCTCTATACATAATCTGATATTTTTCTCGTGGCCTTTAAAATTCTATCCTTATTCTATATGTTAGGCTTTTTCATTATAATGTGCCTTGGTGTGGATCTGTTGTAATTTTGTACATTTGGGGTCCTATAAGCCTCTTGTATTTGATTTTCCATTTCATTCTTTAGGTATGGGAAATTTTCTGATATTATTTCATTGAAAAGATTGTGCATTCCTTTAGTTTGTGTCTCTGCACCTTCATCTATCTCAATAAATCTTCAATTTTGTCTTTTCATGTTATCCCATACTTCTTGGAAGTTCTAGTCATGGTTTCTTAACATTTTTTTCTCCATGGTCAACTCTATTTTCAAGATTATATATTTTGTCTTCATTGCTAGAGGTTCTGCCTTCCAAGTGGTCTACTCTGTTGGTGATGCTTTCTATTGAATTTTTAATTTGGTTTACTGTTTCCTTCATTTTGAGGAATTCTGCTTTTTTGTCCAGAATCTCTTTATTGAAGTGATCTTTCATTTCCTGTATTTTCTCTTACTTCATTTCTTATACCATCCTTTATTTCACAGATCAGTTTACCTATGTACATTCTAAATGCTTTCTCTGATATTTCTTCCCCTGTGTTGTTGATGGATTTTGTTATATATATCTTGGCTTGTTTGGGGAAATTTGTTCTCTCATTTTTTAATGTTGTTTGTGTGTCTATCCATCTAACAGTATGGATCTGAGGCAGTAGGGTTTTTACCCTGTGGACTTATAATGTCCCTGATGGTTTCCAGCACTTCACTGTTTAAGGGGAGACAAATAATAACAACAGCCAATGCAAATAATATACAGCATTAAACCAAATAGCTCCTACTATGACATCTACAATGTTAATTATCACAATAAACAGAAATGATAAGATCGGTTATCGCCTACGGCAAGTTTGCAAAAGAGTTTACAATTTCAAGTGGTGAACAGGGAGAGAACAGAAGTGATATAGGATGTGATGATTATGAAGGAGGAGGGAAGAAATAAAAAATTAAAGGAAGAGTGAAAGAACAATAGAAATTGGCTGATCACAGAAGAAAAGAGAGAATCAAGGTAAATAGGCAGGAGAAAAATATACACATATAAATTAAATATTTTAAAAAATAAAAGAATACAAAACAAAACTGAAAGTATACAAATCAAACATCCTAGTTCACAAAAAAACCAATCCATGAAAAATAACTGGCTTCAAAAATGCTAGAAATGAGGGTTGGGGCTATGGTGCAGTGGTAGAGCACTTGCCTAGCATGTGTGAGGCACTGGGTTCAATTCTCAGCACTGCATATAAGTAAATAAAGATCCATTGACAACGAGACAATATTTTTTTTTAAATGCTAGAAATGAGGCTGGGGCTGGGGCTCAGTGGTAGAGCTCCTGCCTCACATGAGTAAGGCACTGGGTTCAATCCTCAGCACCACATAAAAAATAAATAAAGATATTTTTTTAAAAAACTAGAAATGAGAAAAATCAAATATGAATATGTATAAGTGTCCATGTACCATTAAGGAAACAATTAAACAGAGAAAAAGAATTTTTTAAAAAAAGATCTTGATGAAAAGTTATGATATTTTCAGTCCAAACCATATTTTCAGTCATGGAGCTTTGAAAATAGTACTATCCTTGGTAGAATTGAGGACAACTTACTGTTTGCAGTCAGTGATAACTCATTTTCTAATGCTATAAGTGAGAACAAGAATGCTGAGGAAAATTATCTGGGGCCCTTGCAGAGGCAGTGGGTTTTCACATTTGGACTTTTCTCCCTAATTCCTCAAGCAAGCTTCCATAGAAAGATGGACCCTCCTTTCCACAAGACATGGGGGAGGAGGACAGTGTTTTAAGAGGCTTCTGTCACTTAGGCCCATTTTATTTTCATGTATTCATACAAAACTTCTAAAAATTTAATTAAAATCAGAGCTTAAGATACTACATTAGGAAAAAGGAGGCATGAAGGTGGGATTTAAACATTATGAACATATCACAATGAATTCCACTTTTAAAACAAATCAATTTTTAAAATTCAATAAAAAATGGTAAAAAGGGGTTTTTTTATTAAAAAAAAAAAGAAAAGAAAAGATAATGAGTGCAGACTTTTTACCTGGCAAACAGATGATATGCTTCTTGTTCTTGGCCCCAGAGAGAGGAGAGCTCTGTGTGTATGTAGATACACTGACCCTGGGACATAAAGCCCACCTCAAGAGCACCACAGGCTAAGGTCTCTAGGTTGTCCACTTGACTCTTTAGTAACATCACAATTCCTTTAACAGAGGAAGTTTGAGCCTGTAGATACACAATAAAATAAAGTTTCAAAATTAAACATAGACAACACAACTATAAGCAAGATATATTATTTTATAATTAAGCAGAGAGAAAAAGACCTAAAATGGGACTTATAAATAAGCAGTTTTTTGGCCAAAAGCCCAAACATAATCTTGTTCTCCAAATATGACCTCCATCCTATTCCACATTATCATGAAAGTCTTAGCCAGTGCAATATGGCAGGGAAAAGAAACAGAAGACATACAGATCAGAAGGTATTACACAGTTCCTATTTATAGATGACATGAAAATCTGTGTACAAAATCCAGAGGAATCTATTTTGTGTATATGTGTGTATGGTGCTGGGGATTGAACCCAGGGCCTTGTGCGCATGAGGCAAGCATTCTACCAACTGAAGCCAGATTTAAAGTTAGGTAGTCAGTGTAGTTAGGTAAATCGGGTCTAATACCGAGTGAAATCTAAAATGGAGGCCATGCTGGGAATGACTCAGGGAAAACAGGACAACTCATGGAATGTTAATGAAGTTCCGAAAAGGCCCTAGGCCAAAGTCCACCTGGACGAAGTATTAACCAACAGCCCCAACAGATCTGGAGATAGCCCATCTCAGAGAAGTGATAATCCCATCCCAAAAGATGATAATTATGTCCACCTGTGTCCCATCCCTCGGGCCCTTCAACCTACATTCCATCACCAAACCTATAAAAAGGGAACACATTGCCCGCTAACTGGATTCCACCTTTTGGGTCCCCTTCTTCCTCCGGGAGAAGTCTTTTCTTCTGTCCTTTAATAAATTTCTAATTTCTATTCTGACCTTGCCTCGGCGTGCTTCTTTGGTGTTATTCTTCAACATCGGGGCAAGAACTCGTCACCGGTCAACAGCGGTAACACAACTGAGCTATATCCCCAGCCCCCAAAGGAATCTTTTTAAATCCTGAAACTAATATGTGAATCTGGCAAAGTTGCAGGACATAAAATCAAAAAATAATAAAACCTCAAATGTATTTCTATATACTCGTAATTAAATATATGAAATGAAAAATCTTCTGAAACTACCATTTATAATAATTATGAAAACAGGTAAAAAATACAAAACATATACAGGATCTACATGCTGAAAAATACAAAATTTCTTTATGGTGAAAAATATCTGAGATGATGAAAGAAATCAGAGACCTCAATGACCGTACTCAAGGATTAGAAATCTCAAGTATGTTAATTCTCCCCATGTTAATCTATATAACCAGGAAGATCAATAAACATCAAGTAAAAAAAAAAACATGAAAAAAACTACTTCAAGAAAGTGTATCATAATCAAATTCTTTAAGATCAATGATAAAGAAAGTAATGTCAGGAGCTGCCCTGGATGTAGACCTTCAAGTCCTGATGCCCTGGGGCACTGACCAATTATTGCCTTCAGTCATGATAGTGCCAGGTCTCAAGTAACTTTGGCGTTACCCCAGCTTGGATAGCAAGGCGTGTGGCTCCAGGTGTAGGTGTCGCTGGCGGGGGTTGAGTTCCACTCACCTGTTCCTTTGTAATCCTACCCTTGCCTCATTTGAATGGCTTTTCCCCAATAAAAGGGTTAAGCACATGCTCCTTGTTCTCTTTCTTGCCTGTCTTGCCCCCCTTGTGGGAGCTGCAGCTGAGGAGCCATCACTGAACCCAAAGATAAGGTACTTTCTGGTTCTGTGTCTTTATTTATTCCCCAAATTCACTTGGAGTGACCCTGACTGATTTAGTAACAAAGTAATTTATGGTGAAAGAAGCTGATGAGGACAGGTGAGGGAAGGACACATTAAACAGAAACAAGGATAAGGATGACAGTGAATTTCTTGTGTGAAATAAAGCAAGTTAGAAGTCAGTGGAGTAAATTGTTAAACTACTGAAAGAAAAAAAATGTGATTGACATTCTTTATCCAGCAAAATATCTTTCAAAGGCTAGGGCGGGGGCTGGGGCTGGGGCTTAGTGGCAGAACACTTGCCTAGCATGTGTGAAGCACTGGGTTCAGTCCTCGGCACTGCATAAAAATAAAGGCATCCTGTCCATCTGTAACTACAAAAAAAGTAAAAATAAAAACAAAAATGAAAGGCTTTAGCTGGACATGGTAGCACTCTGGGCAACTTAGCCAGACCCGGTATCAAAATAAAAAATAAAGTGGTAGAGCAACCCTCGGTTCCATCCCCAGCACTACAAAAGAAAAGACAGAGAGAGAAAGAGGGGGAGAGAGAAAGGAAAAAAAAAAGTCCAGGCACACTGATGCATGTTTATAGTCACAGCTACTTAGGTGGCAGACACAGGAGGATCACTTGAGCCCAGGAGTTCAAGTGAAACTTGGGCAACACAAACTCATCTCAAAAAAGAAAAAAGGAGCTGGGTATGGTGGTGCACACATGCAATACCATAAACTTGGGAGGCTAAGGCAGGAGGATTGCAAATTTGAGGTCAATCTGTGCAACTGATTGAGACCTTGCCTCAAAGTTTAAAAAAATTATTATTATAATAAACTTTTTTTTTTCAAAAGGACTGGTATCACAAAAAAAAAGGAAAAGAAAAAACAAAGCAAAACTTGCATACTTACACTAAAGACTACAAAATATCACTAAAAGAAATTAAAGTTTTAGGGACTGAGGCTGTGGCTCAGAGGTAGCACATTCGAGGGCCTGGGTTTGATCCTTAGCACCACATAAAAGAATAAATTATATACATATAAAGAAATTAAAGTTTTAAATAAATGTAGAGATAGCCCATGTTCCTGGATCAGAAAACTCAATATTATTAAGAAAACGAGACTCTCAAAATTAATCTGTGAGAAATAGAAAGTCCAGTGGTTCATTTTCTGAAAATAGGATTTACCCTTAATTGGGATGTAAGAGCCAATCATAGTCATTTTAACTATAGCCCTTCCCTTTGCCTTCCCCAATTTTAAAATTAACTGGTCACATAGACTGTAACCCAGATATCCTTCTATCAAAGCAACGGGCAATGCTACATTAGAGATAAAAGCAGGCGGACTGCTTGCCCAGGGGTACTTGCTAGCCAGATTTGGTAGCACATGCTTCTGGCAGAAGTAAAGTTTGCCAAGCTTGCTGACCCATTTCCTAGCACATGTTTGATTCTTTGTGGCACTCTGGTTTTCTAACCGTTTTCACACCCAGTGTGGGGCTCCATACATTGCCTAAGAGGTTGTGGATACACCTCATTAGAGGAGATACATCCCACTGCCTTTTTGAGGTAGCCTAGAGGGGAGAATGACTGTAATTCCTGAAGCCAACAATGGACCCAAAATCAAAAGTGGATTGGCAACAGAGTAGGATCCAAGCAAGCACTGCAGCAACTGAGAAGTACTTCTTTCATGGTCAAAACATGCCAGAGATTGTGTAAGTATGACTGAGACTCTATTCAGAAACACAAGACCATGTCCAAGAAGGAGGGATGGGAGGCTCCGAGTGTGCAAGAAACCTTTAATAAGCAGGGATTGAGTACACAGAGGAAAACTTAATTACATGGGCCTGCAAAACATGGGGAATAAAAATTCTAGGCCTAGGGACAGGAAGAACAATGGAAAGATCCCATATGTACAAGTCTTCTTTTCCTTTGAAGAATCCTAAACAAGGAAAATAAACAGTGGTGATGATGGGAGTAAACCTGCACCCATGGAGGACAAGTGACCAGTTAAACCTTTGATTTCTGTATCCACCATGGCTGACAGACTTTATTCCTAATGTTCCTAGCTGCACAGGCTCTTTTCATGTCTGGGTCACATGTTGGGATTTAGTAAAAAGCTGGTAAAAAGCTTCAAGACCTTTGTTTCCTGTGTGTTTTGTATATATGTGTGCATACCTGTGTACTGTACACAGGTATGCACACATATATTGTGTCTACATATATACTTGTGTCCATATATCATGTACATGGTATCAAAATTGGCTTATAGATAAATGAGTATTCATAAATTTAATGAATGGATCCAAATACCTTTCAGTTAACATGAATTAAAGAAAACTTTAACAAAAGGGTCAATCTAAATTGGTAAGAATAAAAATTCCTTTGAAACTACTAACCCACATGTTTATCTAGGTGGCCAGCCAATCAGTGTTAGTTTCTATAAAATGTTTAAAGTGCAATGTCCATTGCTTCTGAAGGTTTTTCTTTGTCAAGAATAACTGACTTAGTACTAACTAGACCTGTTTAATATCTTGGTTTTCATGAGTAACCTAAATTAGAAATAGATTAATTAGTTTTAACATAAGTGGGATTAACATGCATAAATGTATTTGTTAGAAGAGACATCTGATTAACTTACAGTTAAAATACTAAAACATCAACTAAGTATAAATTCAAGTACTCTTGGGTTCTTTAATTCCATAAGGTAACAGATATTTGGGTCTATTAAATGTGTTTTTTATAAATTGGTAAATTTAAAAAAAGGCTTAAGATTGTTTATTATTATCTAGGTCTTAACCTAAAAACAAGGTTACTAAGAGTTAAAATTCTAACAGGTATTAAAAAAGTTTTAGCCATTTGATTAAAGTTCTGTAAAAAGAATAAGGTATTTCATCTTATTAAAAAGGAGTAAGATTTGGTTGAATGAAAGAAAATGGAGCTCCAGTGATGCAAGGAGGAGCCTAAAAGAGGGTTATGGCTTGTAGATAAAGCACTGATCAGAGTCTGCGCTGAGCAGATATTAAAAAAAAAAAGTTGGGGCTAATGATTGGACTCTGTATCTACAGGCATTGGGAGGGTACCAAGACAATTGGCTTGGCCCATGACTTTCTAATTGACTATGCCCGCTTAGTCTTTAAGTCTGGAATATTTCTATAACTTCATTTGGTTTCACCCCCTTCCCATTTACCACTGCTCTGGGACAAAGGAATTGACTGGAATGTTTAACTTCATGGGATGGCCTTTACCTTTGGAAAAAGCCTTAATTGGAGGCCATTACCCTGAGTGTCTGATGATTAACTATCCTATCTTATTCAGGATGAAAGCTACCAGTCACTAAGGACATATCAGTGGATTCCAGCACTATTAGGTCATAACCTGGGGATAAAAAATGCTCTTCCCTTCTAAGATCTAGCAGGATGCCCCATTTGGCCAGGGGATACTTCTGGGTGGAAGCCTCCCTGCTGTCCACAGAGCTAAAATACAAGGGCCTCCTGGAGTCCCCATGTATGCAGGCATCTGTGTCTTGGCCATGCTGATTTCTATATAGAGAGGTCCCAAATAGTCTCTGTAGGGTCAATATGACCTTCATTGGACAAAGGGGACAAACTGACATAACCCCCTCACAACTAGTTAATAGTGCATTTATGATATATAACGCTTAGGAGGAACAGAAACAAAAGTCAACTTATGTTTTGTTGGCAACCTATGCAAAAGGATCTTCAAGAAAGCCTAAAGGATGAAATGGCCTCCTTCACTGAATATCAATATGCCTCGTGTAATAAAAAGGCCTCAAAGGAGCATCTGAGTATAATCGACAGTGGGGAACTCGCTTAAAGTTGATGGCATTATGATAGTGATAAAGGAGACAGGTCAGGCTCAACAATATCCTGTGCTCCAACCCCTTGAATGCAACCTGGGGAGAAAAAGATTTAGACTGTTTGGTTTTTTTTGTATATATCCAGATTGTCCATCCCTCTCCTGGAATAAAACGTGTTATGTGAATTAGATGCACAGATAACATTCTCACCCAAAGAGCAACAACTTCAGTTGCAAGTGCTGCCCAGGAAAAGGAAACAAAGCCTGCTTTGCTGGAGGTCTACTAACAGTAAAGCCATCTGGGCCAAAGGGACCCTGAGAAAGGTGATCAGTGTTATCTCAACCAAGATTTTGTTTAAGGAGGAAGTAATAACTTGCCCCAGGAAGAAGAAAAAATATATATAATATAATATAATGTGTATATACATTTTTTAAGAGAGAGGCATTAATGGGGATCATTGTCTTTCCGACAAACATGACAAACATGAATTGAGTCAGTTTTGCCAGACACACTAAATATATGTGACTAGAGAAATACATACAACTAAAAGCTTAGGRGAACACTTTACCAAGCTGGTATTCTCTAAACTAAAGTGGCATGTAGAGGTAATCTCCTTCAGATTTATATAGAAATAACAAATTTAACTGGGGATTTATTTATGTCATTTAATGTTCTGTAACTGGATAAAGGTAACCTCTTCTCAATAAGATGTGTGTGTGTATGTGTGTGTGTGTGTGTGTGTGAGAGAGAGAGAGAGAGAGAGAGAGAGAGAGGGAGGGAGGGAGGGAGGGAGGGAGAGATTTTGTGTTACTTTTTACATTGGGCTGGGAATTTAAGTGTATTTTTAAAGACAATAAGGACAGGGTTGGGATTGTGGCTCAGAGATGGAGTGCTCACCTACCATGCATGCACTGGGTTCAATCCCCATCACTACATACAAATAAAATAAAGATATTGTATCCACCTATAACTAAAAAAATAAATATTAAAAAAAGACAATAAGGACAGCCTAATTTGTTTAAAGATTGACACTGTAAAACATGGAAGTATTTTTCCACTTTTTCCACAAAAAAATTTGGTTTAATTCACGTTTCAGATACAATGTTGTATTGTGTTATTTGCCCTATCTTACTGAGATAAGTCTCAGCCTCTCACCCTACTCCATGTTAAGATGGCTTCAAAGTAGGCTAGTGAGCTCATTTAAAGTTATGTTCAAAGAATATATTTTTGTTGTTAAAGATTACTATGATATCAAATTAAACAGGGGATATAATAAATAAGTAAAGGTTTAGGATTATAAAAATCTTGGTTAATAGCTATTATAAAATGGAATATTTTTGCTCTTGTTAATTTCATTTTGTATTTTTCTTATAAAAATGTGTAACTGTTGCCTGTTAATGTTTTGCAGAAGTACTTCTTCTAACAGAAAAACCTGAGTTAATTTGAGACAATAAACCATTACCTATGGGACAGATTGGATATAAAGCTAACTTCTAGTACTGATACTAACCTTAATCAAACAAAAGGGGTTACTATAAAATTATACACCTTAAAGTATAATCCATTATTGTCACTTTAAAGACTGGTGAAACTGACCTGCTGAATGTTTTAAACCAAAACCTGGAGCCCAAAGTAAAACAGCTAAGGGAAAAAAGTAGCAATATTCTGGCCCTTGTCCTCTTAGGTCAGTCAAAACTCAGGGAACAATGGGATTTCTCTAAGGGACTTGCAACTGCAGTAAGTCATCTGACATCCCAATCAGGGGGATCAAGAGGACCTAGAGAACAGGGAGCCAACCAGTGCACATTCTGCAAAGAGGAAGGTCACTAGAGAGGGAAATGTCCCTTATATTTCGAAGGGAAGCCACATGTGGTCAGTGAGACCCTGATCCATCCTAGCAGATAGCACAACTGATAGAAGAAAAGCTAAAGGATCCAAGAGGCTTCTCATAAGTTCCCAAGAGTGATCCCTTAAAATTGTCAGCTAACTCTAACAGTAGATAGAAAAAATTTTTACCAACTTGGTCTTAAACACCTGGCAGGAGAACATAACCAAAGCACAACCATACATGGACATTTAAAAGATAAGACAATGGTTCTTTTACATGTACATTTATGTTAGTCCTCCTGAAAATAAGTAAAACTGGGAGGTTATAAAGGAAGATTTTATACAGAAGTGCCTAATAAATATCACAAAAAGCTCTGCCAGAGTTATAAATTTGTTCTGAGTCAATTTGAGACCTATCTGAGCTTTTTCTGTTTACTTTTTCTTTGCTGGTATAATTATCATGATCTGCTGCTCAGACTCCCATTTTAGAGTTTGCAATTCACTTCCAGCCTGGCAACTTGATTTTAATCAAGACCTAGAAAGAAGACAAGCTACAACCAAGTTGGAAAGAACCTTACCAAGTGCTCCTCATCACCAAGATGGTTACCTGATCTGCTAAAAAGGGGAGAACTCATTATCATGGGCAATTTCCACTTCACAAAGTTAATATATCTAGGATGGATGTAAATACCAAAGGGTATAAAGATAAAAATGAAAAAGAAAAAGGGGGGACTTTTGAGAAATATAAAGTCCAGTGGTGCATTTGCAGAATATAGTATTTAACCTTAATTGGGACATAAGATCCAATTGAGCCATTTTAACTACAGGCCTACCCTTTGCCCTGCCCAATTTTAAAATTAGCCAATCTATATAAAGATTATAACACCAAGCTCCTCCTATCAGAGCAAGGGGCAGTACTATGTTAGGGATAAAAAGTAGGTGGACAGTTCTACCCAGGTGCACTTGCTAGCCAGGTTCAGTAGCACATTCTGCTGGTAGAAGTAAAGTTTGCCTTGCCAATCCACTTCAGAGTGCATGTTTCATTTCTTGTGGCACCCTGGTATTTCTGACATAGTTCAGTGGTAAAGTGCCTCCGAGTCAATCCCTAGTACCAAAAACAAACTAATGGAAATTCTACATCATCACTCACTTACCATTCATGGGGAGGGAAGGCTTAAAATCTTATTTCTAGCTTTTCTATCAAAATCAGACATAAAGGGGCTTCTTTTATGAAGCCAAAACAACAAAACCTACCATTGTTTACTAACCTGGTCAGCTATTAGCTGGGTGGAACCATCCTTATACATTAGAGTCACTACCAGTGCAGCTGCCTGCTTGAGCATTTCCATCAGCTGGTTTTTTGACTGATCATCCAAATACCTAATATCACAAAGGTATTTTTTAAAGGTTCTTGAGTCCCCAGAATTTAGCTGTGCTTTAACCTCACCAGCATTTTCTTCCAATGCCAAGTATTTACTTATTTTCTCTGATGAGTTACTACACATAATATGTTTTCTTTTAAGATTCATGCTTTCCTTATTTTCATTATTAATATTTTCATTTAGGAAATGCTTTTTCTTATGCTCCATTTTCTGTAGGTCTGAAGCCTCTTGATCACAATGTGGAACAGAACACCTGGAAGAAGCCAATGAGCTGATGTTTTTCTGCTTTTGATCAGTAGGCAGCTGACCTGTGAGCCCAGTACTGGAGGAATGAGGAGAAGGCTTGGTGGAACCTCTTGACGTCTGGCCTGTTAAAGATTTCGGATTCTGTAATTAATAGAAAATATTTCATCAGAACACTGATACCTAAGGCAGCTCAATAAACCAAACTAATTCCTGGTAAAACCTGTCTAAGATAATGTGAGAACACGAACTTCACATTATCTGTGACCACATTTTGTGTGTATGTGTGCTGGGGATTAAACCCAGAGCCTTTGCATACTAAGCACATGCTCTACTACTGGGCTATATCCTTAGCCCTCTGACCATACTTTTTAATTAAACTATATATAGTCTTCCACATAGTTATTTTTCTCTACCAAGAGAGGCATGCACATCTGCACCCTGGGGCTGGAATGAGCAGGAGCTCAACACACAAACAGTAGCCCCAGTTAAGGTAGTTATGCATATCACGAAAGAGAGATGGAGAGATGGATGGAAGGAAACTGAATACCTGCATAAGAGTGAGGGTTAACTATTTACAGCTTCCAATAGGCCCCATTATAGAGAAAATAAGATCACCAAAACTTTTGAGAATGTTACTCTACCTACTAAATTTTCTTTAAAAAAAAAAAAACAGTTCAGCAGTGATCCTTTTTCCTCATTCCAAAAATATGCAATACACTTTGTAAAGGCATAAACTAACAGAGGGGAAAAGTCACCCCTATCCATTTCATCATAGGATGAACTAATAATAACCCTTTGTTTTAAAGTTTATTTTCAATCTTATAATATATATTCATGTTGCTTGGAACAACTGCATACTTTAAAATAATTTTGAAAAAAAATTTACACTTGCTCATAGGCCATGCAAAATTTAAAATTCATACTTATTTTTATTGCAGAGAAATATATCGTTTAAAAAAAAATACTTAATGTTAATTAAAAATTCTGTGGAATATACAATAAAAGGAATTCAATGAGAAAAAGAAAAATATAAACTTTCAGACCATTGATGATCTTGCATGTGTATTTTTTTTAAAGGGATTATTATGGATATCAAGTTTCTGGAGTGTAGTTTTAATCATAGTTGACATATTTTAAATGTTTGTATGACAGTTTTTAAAATGTTAATATTAACAACATACCAGAAATCATGACCTTTGCAACTTTTTAAACTTGTAACAAATATTTTAAATTATATATATGTATATATATATATATGTATGTATATGTGTGTGTGAGTATATATATATATATATATWKTGTGTGTGTGTGTGTGTGTGTGTGTGTGTGTTGTGGATGGACATGTTACATTTATTTTATTTCTTTTTTTATGTGGTGTGGAGGATCAAACCCAGTGCCTCACACATGCTAGGCAAGAGCTTTACCAGTGAGCCACAAACAACTCCAGCCGATGAATATTTTAAATTTCAATTTTAAAACATGTTGAGAAGATCATGGCTTTTCAAAATTTGAGATCCGAATACTATTCATTCTATCAAGACAGAGATTCCATCCTCATTTTGTTATAGGGGTTAATGTTTGAATTAAGTTAGGATGGGGCCAGGCGCAGTGAATTACACGCCTGTAATTCAGCAGCTCAGGAGGCTGACACAAGAGGATCACAAGTTCAAAGTGAGCTTCAGCAATGGCAAGGTGCTAAGCCACCCAGTGAGACCATGTCTCTAATTAAAACATCCCTTTAGGGATAGGGATGTGGCTCACTGGTAGAGTGCCCCTGAATTGAATTCCCAGTACCAAAAAAAAAAAATTAAAAAATTAAAAAAATAAGGTAGGATAGGAACTGAACAATTTGCTCCAGAGTCCATTCTCTTACTACTAGGCTCTCTACCACTGTTTCATACACAATGTCTTTAATGATATAACCTCTTCTCTCCTCTATAGCTGAACCACTTAACTCATCCACTGTAAACTCTGTACCTGAGCCTTTCTGAGCTTCTATTTATTTCCACTAGTCCAAAATTTCAAGCTCTCTTACCTTACCCTGAAAAATTATCTCCGCATCTTTCCCTCACTCTCTAAAGGTGGGGTCTTCAGGCTGACCAGCCCCTCATCCACTCTACTAGAACTCAATTCAGATATAACTTTCATACTTCAGAAAGACATCCCAAATTCCTGTCCCCACTACCCAGAAAAGTAAATTGAAACAGCACAAAAGCGGGGTTAGATGTCCCTCCTATTATTCTGAGAGCAATGTGAACTTATTCCTATCACAGAACTTAATGCACATCATGGTAGAGATCAATTGTATTTCTCTGTCTTCCCCTTTCCTCATCCAAATTAAATTACATGCTCTCTAAGAGCAAGAACTTGATTCTTGCTTGTTGTGACTAGGGAAAGGCGAACACTTTAGTCCACCATGTTCTTCTTCTTGGTTCTCCAGGCCTGGGCGGCAGGCCTCACCACCCCTTGGGGAAGACATATAAGGAATTTTGCATAAGACAGCCTTGTTTGTGCACAGGGATACTCCTGAGAATAACCCATAGATACCCCATTTGATTTCACACCAGAAAACTATAAGAGGATAAAGGCAACTGTAATATATATATATCCATCCATCCAGAAGGGCATACAGCAACAGCTATGCTTCCAGTCCTATATTTGGCCCAAAGGCAGAATGGGTGGTTGCCCATCTCTGCCATGAACTGAACAAGGATGCCGAAATTTTTACAAGTACCTCCAATGAGTATATATGAAGTAGCAATTTTTTATACAATGTATAATTGAAAGCTAGTTGGAAAGTATCACATTCAGTTCTGCACTTGCTTGCTTTGAAACTGACAGCATACTGGAGGCCATTCAGAAGAAGGTTGGAATAAAGGCTGGGGAAATGATATCTGGCAAACTTTTTACCTTTATAGAGGTGTAATGTTTAGGGGCCTGTGTAAATACACCAATGGTTCAAATAAATGACAACTACTATGAGGATCTGACAACAAAGGATATTGAAGAAATTGATGAGCTCAAAGTGGGTAAAATTCCAAAACTTGGACGTTTCTGTTGTGAGCCAGCTGGAGGTCTTACCTCATTGACTGAACCATCCAAAGGACTTAGCTTTGGTGTGCAAGTAGGCCTTTAATTTATATTCAACTATAAATATGTTATTACAGAAATAAAATATTACCTACAAAAAAAAGCAAGAATTATTTTTTTCCAACCACTGAATCCACAGTGCATATACAGGACACTTAATAAAAAACTGTTGAACAAATKAAGGTTATCTGTTTAGAATTATCTCTATTTGCAATGATTTACCTTTTTCTCTAGTGATTGGTTCTTCCCATCTTTAAGTATTACTGCATCCTTAACACTGGATTTGTTTATTGGTTTTACAACTTCAAGAATAAAAAGGAATAAAAGACATTAAAGAAACATTAAAATATAAATAATACAATTAACTAAGAATTGAAAATAGCCTCTATAATCATACTACGTACTCATTAACTTTCTTAAAGCAATATAACAAAATTTACAACCCAAATACACACTGCCATTGCAATAAGTAGTTATGTAAAGTTAAAGTATTTTCAAGTTAACTGGTGGCAAATATATGTAATTATGAAATGTTTATTAAAAATAATTACGTGGCATTTGCTTTGGAATACTTGATTCTAAAAAACTCAAAGTCAAAATTTTATAAAAATATTGTAAGTATTAAAGTTTTAGGGGGGTTTTGTTTGTTTTGTTTTGGGTACAAGGGATTGAACTCATAGGTGCTTTACCACTGAGCTACATCCCTACCCTTTTTTTATTTTGAGACAGGTTCTAAGTTTCTTAGAGCATTGCTAAGTTGCTGAAGTTGTCCTTGAAGGTATGATCTTCCTGCCTTAGACTCCCAATTTTCTGGGATTAAAGGCATGTGCCAATGCGCCTGGCAGTATTAAGAGCTTGAGTAGATTTTTCCCTGCGTGATGCCAGGGATTGAATCCAGGGCCTTAAGCATGCTAGGCAAATGCTCTACCACTGCTGGATCCCCAGTCCCACCAAGAAAATTCTTACACTGAATAATGCTGCAATGGGACAATAAGAGTTTCAGTAAAACATCATGAATACAAACCTCTAATTCAGATTCTAATTTTAATAAACCTAGCTGAACAGTAAGTATGATTTGGGAGTCTGCTCTTCACCTATAACTGGCCTTTCAGGAACAATAACAACCAGGAAATGAAATTGGGGGAAAATATTTCATTTATAATAGAAAAAAATTACTAGGGATAAATTTAACAAACAATGGTATAAAACAAGACCTATAAAAATAGAAAGACATATGGGGCTGGAGTTGTGGCTCAACAGAAGAGCACTCACCTAGGGCATGTAARGCCCTGGGTTCAATCCTCAGCACCACATTAAAATAATAAATAAACCAAAGGTATTGTGTCCAACTACAACTAAAAAATAAATATTTTTTWAAAATGAAAAGACATAGGATTAGGATATGTATAAAAACATTTAATTCTTTCAAATGTGAATTTAATGCAACTCCAATTAGAGAACCTACAGGGATCTTTCAATTTATTAAAGTAATTTCAAAGGACATATGAAAAGCTAATTATCTGAAAATAGACAAGAAATATAATTTTTAAAAAAGAAGACATGGGCTGGGGTTGAGGCTCAGTGGTAGAGCACTTGCCTAGCATGTTCTATTCTCAGCACTGCATACTAATATATAAAATAAAGTCCACTGACACCTAAAAACAAAACAAAAAAAAAGACTTGCCTTGCTAGATTATCATAACATCCTATAAAGCCACTCTAATCCAATCAACATGATATTTGAATAGGAACAGACAAAAAGACCTCTGGAACAGAATAGACAATCCAGAAATTGATCCCAGAATTTATGAGAATATACAACAAAAATAGTATTTCAATCCAATAAAAAGAGGCAGATTAATAAATAAGGCTGGTACAATCACATCTGAAAGAAAATAATGCACTGGGAAAACTATTTGGAACAAAAAATAGAAAGTATTAATGCCTACCACAAATTCCTACACATTGACAAGAAAAGACAAACTCAACAGAAAAACAAGCAAAGGATAGAAATGGGCAATATGTAAAACAGCAAACTTCAACAGCAAACAAATATAATAGTAGACAGGGAAATGAAAATTAGAAACATGTCCACATAGGGACATTTTAGACAACAATGGACTACACATTCAACAGCTGTGTCATATCACCTATTGACACACAGTGGTTCAGTCTGTGTAAGCACATTTTATGATGGTCACACAATGGCAAAATCATCTTAGATGGCACATCTCAGAAAGCTCTCCCTATTAAGCAATATGTGRTTATAAACATTCTTGGAGATAGAGGGGAAGAGAGTCTTGTGCATCACTGGTAAAAATACAAATAGTTGAACCTTTTAAAAAGGCAAATGATCAACACTTATTAAAATTAAAAAGGCATATATCAGGGGCTGGAGTGTGGCTCAGTGGTGGAGTGCTTGCCTGACGTGTGAAGCACCATGTTTGATCTTCAGCACCACATAAAAATAAATAAATAAAATAAAGGTATTGTATCTATCTACAACTAAAAAAATATTTTTTAAAAATGCATATATCATTCTTGGGAATTGGGAGAAGGAGTGATCCAAAGGGGGCATTAATAATGCTATTCCCTAAGCTGGGTGCAGGTCTGTGAAATTTTGAAAGTACAGACCTAAGGTATGTGAATATATAAATATACATATTATATAAATATAAATAATACCTCAATAAAAAACAAAGACATAATCATTTAATCAAAAAAATCTCTCAGCTATCCATTTCATAGAAATATATTCAACAGTAAGAAAACCAAAGGTTTACAACAATATTTCTCATTATGGCAAAGCACAAAAAACAAATATACATCAAGAAGGAAATGGATGAACAAATTATATAACATTCACACAAAGAAATACAGAGCCATTAAAAAGAATGATATACAGGGGCTGGAGTTGTGGCTCAGCAGTACAGCGCTCGTCTCGCATGCACAGGACCCTGGGTTCGATCCTCAGCACCACATAAAAAATAAATGAGTAAAATAAAGGTATTGTGTCCAACTACAACTAAAAAATAAATATTTTTAAAAAAGAATGACATACAGCTGCATACATCTGTACTGGTAATCTGAAGATGACTCCAGTTTTGAAAACAATGACCAAATCTCCCCACTTACGTACATGAAGATGCTACCCATGTACCCTTGTGTGGGTTGGGTTTCTTGGCAAGCCAACTTTGTGATAAAGGTTTGCACTCAGAAATGCAACTGGGGAGTGGAGGTGGCAGAACTGCACCAAGGAAGAAGCTGCCTAAAATGCAGTCATTCAAGGTCTGCTCTGGGCCTGGGCTGGCTCTGCAAGATGTCCCCTCATGTGTCCAAGGAGCTGGGTCTGTGTACCCTAGCACCCACCATTGTTGGATCCTTCACTCCTGGGTAAGTGCTGTGTCCTTGGATACAGAAGTTCTGCAGCAGGAACAGTCACCTGGTGGAGCTACTATTAGGGCTGCTAGCAGCGGACCCGGGCACACAGGTGCTGGCAGTGATCACTGCAGTCCACACTGCTGCTTAGAGCCCTTGCTTCAGATTCTCCCTGGGAGCAGGRCCTGCAGGACCTGTTGGGCCTTCATCAGCAAAGGAAGGTTCATGGGATGAACAATATCTTATTACTGCAGCTGGTCTCAGGTTCCAAATGACATCCATCTCCCTACTCTACTCTCAGTCTAAGGTACCCTCACTCTGGCTTAGTACCTCTGCTGATCTAGGTGCCTTCCTGATGGAATGACCCAAACCCCCATCCCTGACAGCTAAGCCCCTGGTCACTGTGCCCTTCTCTGGCTATGGCCCCTAAATTTGCTATCAAATTTGGGCAGGAAGGTGACCAGTCAAATCACCCTGGGTGTTCCCTTGCTAAGCTTGGTAATTGTACCTCCTCCCACAACCAAGGTCAATTACCCTAGCAGGATGGAGACTATGCTCCTCACTTGCCAGTATCTCAGCACATGGAGACTGGAAATGACTGAGCAGCAGCCAAAGCTTGAAATCAAATGGCACTTTTTTTGTGTCTGTGGAAGATTTTGCTCTGTGAGTTAAGACCTGTAAGCATGTAGAACCCAGAGGTGTGTGGAAAACAAATTTCCTAAGTGATCACTGGGAGTGATGACTTCCATCTTTTGGTTTCCAAGCCCATATATTACATCCTGGGGGCACTGCACTAACAATGGTAACTGGTGTGCAATGTTTTTGCTGCACAGCTGCAGGTTTTTGCTCCCTCACTGCCTCTGAACTGGCTCCTCAAATCATTGTACTGCTCTACTGGGCTGCAGTACGAGTATGCAGCTGTGAGGGAGCTGGAGGGTGTCATGTGGCCCTGCTTCAGTCCTTCAGCTTTATGTAGACCCTGTGTCAGTGAACATGTGCTCCAGGACCCTTGAAGAATGGAGCAAATGGAGGCCCTGTGAATGGAAAAGGTGAATCGATGCCTGGAACATGCTGATTTAGTCAAGATGAACCACTGTGGACAAGGATGCCGTGTCAAGCACCTATAGTCAAGCTGATTAGGAGGCCAAGATGAGAGACTCCGTTTGAGACCAGGAGTTGGAGATTAGCCTATGTAACACAGTGAGACACCATTTCAAACAAACAAACAAACAAACAACAATAAAGTCAATCACTGTAACTTTCATGGTACAGGGGGTTCAACATTGTCAATTTGCCACCAAATGACTGTTCTCAAAGCATGGTGCCACTGGGAACTCAGCACTTGGTCTCTRTTGTTGGAGGGTTGGATGCTCAGCAGAAAATAGATAAGGCAACTCTAGTAGGAGCTGCTGGGCCCATGCAGAGCCTCCACCCCAGCCCCATGCTCAAAGAGTAAGCATGTGTCAGCACTGGAACATAAGAGGACAGAAGCTGGTGTCAACTGACCTAAGTCATTCTGTTAACATGATTGTCTGGGCCATCCTCCATGGTAGGTGTTCATGAATGGGAGTTACTTGGTGTCCATCCCATAGATCTACTCACGTGCCTTACCTCAAGAACTCCTTGGGACAAATCTTTCAATTTTTCTTATTCCAGGTCTCTGGCAACCAGGCAAATCACTATAATTTCCCATAAGTCCATATGTTTTCTCTCTCCACACAGTATATGACCAAGTTTTACCCCTTGATTTCCCCTCAATGTTGTCTTCCAGGGCTGCCTGAATTGTGTTATAGTGCACCTGAAACCAATTTTTGGTTTATCCCACATACTGAACATTGTGAACCAAATTCAATCTTTTTATTCCTCTATTAGCTAGTATTAAGATTGTCCTCCTCCTCCTAAGACAATCGACAGAAGACATACC